ACAACCAAATATGGATGGGCGCAGGATGAAGCTGAAAAGAAATGAGTAAGGTCAATTATAGCCAATCAGTTGAAAACAATCTGTCCTAAAAAGGGTTGCTTACTTGCTGGTTAAGTTTCTGCTTGACGGCGACTGACTAGTCACCGTTGCTGGACTCTTTCCGTCCTTACCCGCCCCCGGTCTCACCTACATTCTCGCCTTAATAGTGACGTGCAAACTGTTGTGTATGGAACCGTCCGCGAGTAGCAACTCGTAACGTACGCAACAGGGGTAGGGGCGTAACTGGGGTATTTTGGGTCAGACCATTCCTTTACTGTCAGACTTTGCAAACATCCCACAAAGCAATTATGCGTAAACAGTCGGGTGAAATTGTCCGTTGTGAAAGATCGGCTCCACCTTGCGTGATATTTCTTTCAGTGTAAAATTTTTCAAGGCACTCACGGCGTGGTTTGGTCGAAAAGGGAACTTAGGGGAGAGTTTGCAACTCTACCACGTCAACAAAGTGTCTCTCCTCTCGGGTAACTCGGGGAAAAGGGGGTTGAATCTCGCAGTGACTATTTTCTCAACAAACTACATCTGGTGAAACATGTGCAAGTCCTATGCCTGGAGATGAACGAATGGGGTATTGGTTAATGTTCGAGTGAGTGTTTTGACTTAAACGCTGCATCGAAACTGGCAGCACGGTGTTGCGCATAAAATGGAAGGGATATTTATAATATCATGCATTTAGTTGTGGGGTTGAAGCGATCTTAGGACCGTGCATCTTTGGCATATCTCGCCCTGTGTATAAGCGTGGACTTACGCACAGGGGTACTTTAGCCCTACACACGTGTTTACGAGGTTGAGATTAGGCGCACCGTGGGTCTCCGATTAACCTCCTCATAATGGCATGATACCTGACGACATATCTCAGGGAAAATTCAGAGTTTCTACACCTAGCATGAATGAACCGCTCCCAGACCGGGTGCCTGGTATCCTGATCATTCGTCTTGATCAGCTCCGAAAAGGAGCGACAGCATGACGAAGAGGGGAATGAATCACGCCGAGTGAAAACAACCTACAGTTCTCTAACATGCCCCACTGAGACGGCGATTGAAAACTGAAAACAGCTGAAGTGGAAGATTCCTCGTGGCCTCTTGCGATTTGTGTGAAAACAGACTTGCTCGTCTAGAGCTCACTGTCACTGGACAAAGTGGGGGGACCATGGAGGAAGATGATGCCCTTGTAGTAAAATGCAGATCAAACAAGGATAGGAATGAAGGTTGGGAAGCTGGAGCCATCCAGACATGGAATTGCATAGGCAAACTAAGAGGGAAGTCGCGGTCAAAATGGCGAGTGAGAGAAGGTTTATTGAGTACGTGGTCTGTTTCAATGACCATAGTGGCAAGCTGCATAGCACCGGCTCGTTGCTAGAGATGGTGGAGCAGGCTAGGGCAAAGCTTGGGTAAGCGCCAAGAATACACAAATTTACCTTTCAGCTTTTATCGCCAGGCAACCAGAAGTTTCTTCAGCACTAACACTCAGTCACTGGAGTTGTCAGAGAGTCTCAGCAGAAAAATCAATCAGCAATCAATCATCATCCAAGCAACACTCATTCGTTCAGAACACTCGAGACGAGATTTTCAATCAGAAACACTCGACGTTGTTATAAGTGAGTAGTACTCAGCGCTGTTATCAGTGAGCAGTACTCGGTGAGCAGTATTCAGCGCTGTTATCAGTGAGCAATACTCGGCGCTGTTATCAGTGAGCAGTACTCAACTCTGTTGTCAGTGAGTAGTATCAACACTGCTATCAAGTGAGCAATACTTTGTGTAGCTATCAAGTGGGCACTAATCATTCAGTATTCATTCAGTATTCATTCAGTATTCATTCAGTATTCATTCAGTATCCATTCAGTATTCATTCAATATTCTTTCAGTATTCATTCAGTGTTCATTTAGTATTCATTCAGCATTCAATCAGTGTTTGAACAATATTCAGTCTATATTCGATCAACATTCAGTCATCCGGGTCACGCAAACCTTCTAATCAGAACTAATCAGCTTCAATACCCGACTAGCACATGAGCACAGTTCAGTCATTCCCAGTCGAGGAGTCGGTTTTGACCAGTCTCAATTGCATCGCTTCCAAAGATGCTTTCCAGCATCGATATGTCAGTGCAACCGGCTTGAAGCAAGGTGAACTATCAATCTTTGTGGTTCACACTGAGTTCGCTGAGGGAACCATTCATGACCTGACACCCTATTTAAAGAAAGGGAAAGAGATCCATGAGCACTCCGATTCAGTCTGGATTGCAGCAGCCAGGTATCTCGAGGAGAGAGAAAAAGAGCTTGAYGAGGGTGGGGCAAAGYTGATCCGTAGCTTCGGGCCGAAACTCTRCTCTGAGTATCCCAGACCTCCAGTTCCCTTCCTTCTCACARACGGGTTCAGGTGGCTCTACATCCWGAGACCACAAGCTCAGGGAGTACAGAGACTTGGCCGGAAGCACATGAGACATGCAGCAAAATAAGAGATTGAGTGTGAGATTCAGAGGGATGAGTGAGAACTCTTGACTAGTGCTGGTCCTGCTCTCTGCATGTGTACTCTCTGAGACTATTATAAGTTCTCATTCTTCCCTCATTTACCCTTGTCTTTGCTCGAGTCAATCAGTCTTGTATGGATTACATCGTTTTGCTTGGTGATCATGTTCTCTGATGATGCTGTCACAGTTCTCAAAGTTAGTAAATTGGCAAACTGATGCATGCATGACATATTAGCATTTTGTGATTATTATTTGCATGATTCTTTGCTGTTCCGAATCAAAATAAAAGATTCCTAAGACCGGGGACCGGTGAAGACCGTAATTGAAGGGTCTCGCTCGAAGTCGGACGCACACAACAGGAAGGGATTTGCTTTAATTAATTTATTTTATTTATTGCAAAAGCAACCAAATCCTGTGTGACAGCCTGTTGGCTTTCTGGTCGCCTGAAGGGGCCCGACTAGAAAAAGTGTGACACTGTGCGTGCCCCAGCCTACCTGCATAGCGCAGCTTCTCACGCCAATGCAGCAGCGTGGCTGCAATGCCTGCACAGGCCAGAATGCCCTCCCACTGGGGCACACACTTTCCTTTATGGAAAGTGTGCCCGCTGCTGGCTGGCCTGGCCAAGCGTGTGGGGGGCCCAATCGCTTGCTTCCGACCTCAAGTGTCTGTGCCTAGGCCCAGTTTCCGATACTGGCCTGGGCCTCGTGCAGTTAGGCATGTTCATGCAGCCACCCAGCCTCCACGTGTTCGCAGCATTCTCATTGGCTACCAGCTCATGTGTGACGACAATGCTGCTCTCTCATTGGCCCGCGGCCTGTCCATGATGTGTGCCCAGGGAGCAACCACCTGAGCCCTGGGCTCAACTGTACAACGCAGCCCTTGCTTCTGGAAAGAGCATGAAGGCTCACCTGGCTCTGTTACCAACTGGCGTGCTGCAACTGTCTGAATCCCCACTTATGGAAAAATGTTGAAAGTGGGCCTCTCGTGGATATTCAGGCCCGCCTTCACAGGCTTGCTAGGGGCCGCAGCCCAGAACACTTGTGCAATGACTTGCTGATTTTTGTTGCCGAGACTAACTGCGAGGCTGTACACCAACCGGTAGGTTAGTTTTGTAATTTTATTTGGCTGAAGGCTAACCGAGAGACCAGCCTGTGAGGAAATTCGTGAGGGACAGATCTGTAAATCCGGGGAAAATACAGGCCAGGTACTAACGTGAATTCCTACAGCTACCCTAACTGCCTAGTGCAGGCCCGGGCTACCCCTAGGACAGACAGGCCCTAAGTGGCCTATTCTGCTAGACGGTTCTATAGCCTATAGCCGGGTCCGGTAGAGGCCGAGAGGCCGAAACAGCAACGGTACCGGTCGGTCAGTCAGTCCGGTCTAGGTCTAGGTTAGGCTAGCGAGTCTACAGGTAGGGTAGGCACACCGATTCAGGACTTTTGGCTTTTCATTTTCGGATCGCAGGGTTCGTGGCCAACCAAGTACTGCAGTGCTGAATGTCTGGAGCGGCAACCCAGACATCAGCTAGGTGACGACAGCCATAGCCGGCCCCTGAGAGTCTGCCAGAGCTGGGGCACTCTCAATGCATCTACCCCTGGGGGTATCTGCGTGCAGCAGGGCTATCGGAGGCTCTTCAGAGTGTATAGGTGGATGCTGTTGCTGGCGCCCTATTTCGCAGGGCTTCTGTAGCAGCTCGGCAGCCATAGCTGCCTTCTTCTTCGTCAGAGTGACTCATCGGCACTGAGGACTACATCGCAGTTCATGCTCTGCATCTCGGTGGTTGGCGCTGGCCTCGGGGAGGCTGTTTCAGGGTAGCGCTTGTCTCTGAGAGTGGGATAGTGGGTGTGGTGTGTGATACTGAGGTGGCGAGACACTGGGTTAAACTCTGTAACGATTCTTGGGGTGAATTGTGTTGAGTTGGCTCATCATCTGTGTTATATTCCAATTGTGATCTTCACAGTGTCATCTTGTGATTGGTTGTTGGGAGTTTGTCAGAGAGAGAGAAACATTGTGTTGTATTCTCCCCATATGTGCATGGTTGTTATTCCGCTGCTTATCTCTGGTCTGTGTGCAGTTTGGACTCTGTCTCTCCTCCCCCTTGTCTTGTGCATGTATGGGCATGTGTGAGATACTTTGTGTGTGAGTGGCGAGAAAATTGCCAGACAACCAAGTTCATAACACTTGTATGTCTCATMAGGGCCCCGCAAGGGCTCATTCCTCGCAACGGCATGATTAGGAGTTTATAGGTCTACAAACTTCTTCAGTCTTCCTATAAGAAGGATCTCTATCTCAATCAGATGTGCAGGGTTACGATGAGCTGAAAGCTATTGTAGTTATCATAGCCCTAATAAGCTGATAATTAGCGCAGAATCCGCAAATGCCATAAGTTGGTGATTGTTGATAATGAAAGTTCAAGATTGTGGGTATTCAAACTGTACTGATACTGACATATGATGCGTGAGTTATTCCTTGTGTCCAGGACCAAATAGAGTTGGCAGTGGTGAGCAGCGACGGGGATGTTGATGCAGCTGTTCGGCTTCTGCGGGCAGCTGGAGGGCCGTCTCTTGACATAGGCAGGTCTTTGACTGCCCAAACTCCATCATCTGTTGTCTTCCCTCGAGCGGTGGAATCAGCAGGTTCTTCTGACACGAATACGTTGGGCTCTGGCAGTCTAAGCATGCCATTCAAAACAACTGCCTTGGGTTCCCCAGCTCATGGAAATGGTTATTCTTCCCCAGACGGTAGGAATAGCTCCATTATAGATTCTGGCATTTTCTCCTTGCCATTCCAAACAACAGACTCTGGGCTCCAAACAACAGACTTGGGTTCCCCATCTGATGGAAATCGTCATWYTTTCCAAGACAGTAGGAATAGCTTCACTGCAGATTACGGACTRRGGACTTCTCATGCTGAAACAAGCRAAGCACSTCCTACAAGTGTTGATTGTAGACTACTGAATAGTAGTAAYGGTTTGCCTCCTCACTCACAAGGAATAACAAGTAATCATATTCGTTACAACAGGATCTCAAACTCACCAAGAGCAAGGTTTGTTTCTGMCACTGAGACATTTGATCATCCTCGTCCTCATCATTCTTTTACTGTCGTGGACCTAGAGCACTGCAGCTGCCTTTCCTTGTCTACGAATGTCTTACCCTCCTCAGTTATTCCTGGGTTCGTGTGTGGGGAATCCTCTGAAGTTGGCGGTTTCTCTGCACACCCTCCTGCCGTCTCTGCTAACTGCAGTCCTTCCTCCTCATCCCATACGGTGTCTCAGAACCAGATTAATGTCAATGATGATCGCCATCACCCTGTGGATTCTGGTGCAAGTATGCGCTCTGGGATAGCATCGACTTCAGCATCGGCACCGCATCAGCGGGCGTTCAACTATGGAGATTCATTCAATGGTAACAGTCCTGTCTGTGCCTCTGTCCCAGATTATGAGAGCAGGTGGTCAGAGTCCAGATACTGGACAGGTGCTTATGCCAGTGACCGCTGGGGAATGGTATTGAATGGACTAGATATGGGTATGCAAAACCAGACATTGCCAACTGTGGACTCTGTGTTTGGTCAAGGAGGAAAAGGTTTGGTGAACAATCAGTCAATGGTTAGTTCGGCGAACTTGGACACCAAGCCCCAGCACAATGTACTCTCAAGCCGTTACTTTTCGTCGCAGGCGCATGTTTCTAATGAAGCCACTGACATTGGCGTACAGCATTCTGAGTATGGGAAGGGAGAGGGGCAGGGTCCGTATCTTGTTGGAGCAGATGAGGACGATGCAGAAGGACAGGAGCTGATCCAGCAACTCCTGGCAGAGCTGATYGTATGATTCAATGTGTGCTATCAACCAAATGCAGTGAGACATTAAATCTGGATCCAAAGGAGGAGGCTGAGGTTTGCGGTGCAGGGAGGCCAARGGTACATTTCGTCAAGTTGCGAAGTTGAGTGGTTCTTTCTTGGAGCAAGATCGGAATGCAGAGCAATTTGGGAATGAAGACTGATGAAGACATTCTGGGCTAACCCAGCCCGGATAGCTGAATGGTATACCGTGTAATTGTCAGTGAAAAAAACATGAATTCCAAACCCCGATGGAGTCAGCATCTTCAGATTAATACAATAATGCTCTGGGCTACACGCTTGACAAGAAAAAGATGGTTGGAGCTGAGCAGCAAGCAGGCTGCATCTCCTGTTCTTGTTTTACTGCTCCACATGGCCAGAGAGGCAAGTCACGAAGGGCAATGATTCTGTCGAAACGTTACTTGGAAGAAAAACACAGGAAACTATAACTTTAAAACTGGTCAGAAGAAAATGTTGCTGAGTTCCAAATGCAAACTAACGGAGGATCTTCATTACGTGTATGAACTTGGAAGAGCACGTAACCAATCCGACAAGAGAAAAATGTTGCATTGCATGTGGAGCATTTGAGGGGTAATGCTGATGTGAGTGATACRAATGCTGCAGGTGCATGGAATACCTGCAGCTGCACGGGCGACACCTTTTCTGAATGTTTGACTAGTCCATATATTTTCAAAACTCGAACTGATGTCATTGCACGATCTCGTGGCCGAGCTGCAGGCAGGCTTCATCTCTTGTTCTTGTTGTACTGCTSCCCATGGCCACAGAGAGCCTGAGAGAGGCAAGTCAGGARCGGCAATGATTGTCCAAACAGTACTCAGAAGGAAAAAACGGGAAACTATGACTGTAAAACTGGTCAGAAAACGAATGTTCCCGAGTTCGAAATGCAAACTGGCCAGAAAACGAATGTTCCCGAGTTCGAAATGCAAACTGGCAGAGGATCTTGATTACGTTTATGGACTTGGAAGAGCAGGTAACCGATCTGACCAGAGGAAAGTGTTGCATTGTGTGTAACGGATCTGACAAGAGGAAAATGTTGCATTGTGTGTAGAGCATTTCAGGGGTGTGCGAATGTGAGTGATACGAATACTGCAGGTGCATGGAATAGCTGCAGTTGCATAGGTGACACATTTTCTGGATGTTGGATTGGTCCATATATTTTCAAAACTCAAACTGATGTAAGTGCATGATCTTGTGGCTGAGCTGCAGGCAGGCTGCATCTCATTTTCTTGTTGTAATACTCCCCATGGCCAGAGAGAGGTCAGTCAGGAAGGGCAATGATTCTCTCCAAACATTACTTGTGTTACGATCCTGGCCAATTTCGAAATACACATTCATCAGAAAGTACAATGCCGTCCAATTGCAAAAAAAATGTGTTATGATCCTGGCCAATTTCGAGATACACATCCATCAGAAAGTACAATGCCGTCCAATTGCAGAAATGAATGAACTTGAGAGGAGAGAGAGAGGATTAGAAGAAGACGAAGAAGTAAGAAAGAAGAAGAAGAAGATGTGCACCAGCAAAGGCAATGACAAGGCTCTTCTTCTTCGCCCAACAATCTCCTCCTCCTTATCTCCCCCTTCTCTTATACATACAAGAAATAATAATACAATGTTGAATGGCTGATCCAGAATCAATGTCCGAGTCCCTCTTCTACTGCAGGTATCACTTGAGGTCCACCATAGCCATGGCCGCCTCCCCACTCTTCACTCTCATAGGCCGAGTGTTGCATGCTGCGCCTGCACACGGGCCCCATTTGAGGGGCCCGACGGTTKSYGAGGGGGCCCCAGGCCGCGTACCACACAGCACGCGCCCTGGAGGCCCACAGCGGCCCTTCAGGCCCTAGGTAGCACACTAGTTAGATAGGTTTAGTTTACTTACCTTTTTGTGTGTGTGTGCTGTCTTRCTTTGTCTGTTCAGGTGCCGTTTYGGACTTGCAGCCCCAAGGCYGGACCTTGGGACTGGGTACACCGGAGGCAGGTCCGAAACGAGGCCAGGCGCATTTTGGCGCCAGACCGGTAGGTACAGGCGGCGTTTTGGTCCTGCAGGTCCCAAGGCGACGGGTTGGGCTAGGTGCACAAGTACCGGGCCGTTTTTAGGCCAGGCGCATTTCTGCGCCTTGCTGCATCAGCAGCATTGTCTGGATGTTCGGTAGGGACCGAGACCAGCTRGGCCGTTTTCTGAGGCCAGCATCAGGTAGGCCCAGCCCGCCCAGCGCTACAAATAGCTGGGCAGCGGCTGGGCAAGGACAGTTCGAGTAGCTCACTTCTGGAGCGACATGCTGCTGGTTGAAGCAGCGTTATTCTGCGCCAAGCTACGGAGTAGGGAGTAGCGGAGTAGGTGGTAGAGAGGGCKGAGGCCTTACCTGCAAGCGACGAACTTACCTGGCGCCATAGCTGGGCTCGGCGCGGTACCTGCACACGACGACGACCACAGTCAGTACGGTGACAGCTACCTGCAGGTGAGATAGCAAGGAGGACGTCATCTTCTTCTTATTCCTCCTCCATCTCTCTGCAAGGAACATGAATGTGGACGAAGCACAGAAATCCAGATTGCAAAATCACACTGAAGTCCAAGTAGTCAAAGCAAGAGCAGATAGCACAATGGAACCGAGTAACCATCCATTTGAGAACGATACAGAARAATCGTGAGTCAATGTCCAAGCCCAATCGGGCAACACCAACAGCATAACCCAATGTAGCTCTCTCTCTCTTGAATGGCGCCAGGCGCCCTACCTACTCTACAGCCTATTACTACAACTACAGCATGGAAGCAACCAGACAACTTGACGACCAGCGAGTGATGATGTCAACACCAATGACGACCTCCTCTCCACCAGGTACATCCCACTCTTCACCCTCACTCTCCCTTGTTATCCCACACAGCGCCCTTCACCTCCTCAGAACCACCTTCGCCCTTCACCTCCTCCTGCGCCCACAGGCAGCCCGGCTATGGCCGCCAGCGCCCTGCGCCCAGGCTGCGCTCTACCGCTTAGC